AAAAACAACGAAAAAGATTTTCTTCATCATTGTGTGAAATTGTAATAATCCACATTGAACATGTTAACTAGTTAGTCTAAATTTCGCATATTTTTTATATTTATTTGTTTCTACTTTTAGTATATAAAATATTCATTTCTAATCTAATCATTTCTAATCAACCAATTTATCAGCTTGTTATCATATTTTTTATATAATAAATATATGTATAATAATTTTTTGGAAATCATATATTTTATTTTAATTTTATCATTTAGAAATTTCTTTGATTACAGCAATTCTTAATTATTTTATTTTTCAATGTGATATTATTATGTAATGAAATGAAACATGTTATGTATTTGCATTCAAATCGGAAATCAACAGCAATTATTTACACAACGTTATAATAGAATGTGATTACGAAATTTTTTACGTTTGTCATAGATATCTCCAATTTAAATTCATATTATAAAACGAAACAAAAAAACGAAATAATTTAAAGAAAAATATATTTATCAAATTAAAAAATTTAAAAAATTTTGAAAAATTTGAATAATTTTAACAATAATATGAATCCTTTTTATATTTCAGATATTATCAGATATATTTTTTTTTCTATCAGCATCAATATAATTAGATAAATATGTGATATAATATAATATAATAATTTAATATAATAAATGATATCGGAAAATATCTGATTTCATATCAGCATTGTCATATCTAATTCAATTACTTATTCTCTACTTCCATTTTATCTGACTACAGAAAAAATGTTGAATATTAAAGCAATCATTCTGCTAGTAAATCACTTCCATTTGATTCGAAATTAATTTTTTAAATAATAAAATTATGGAAATTGATTTATATGTTTTAGATAAAAAAATTTAATATAATAATGGAAAAAGGGGTACCATCACCACCACCACCACCTGGTTTTATTCCACCCATGTCACCACCACCATATGGTGAACCTCCACCACAACCACAACCACAATCACGTGCGTAATATATATATATATAATATATATATATATATATATATATATTAAGATATATATATATAAGAACAATTTTAAATATTGAATAATAATATATGAGAGCAATTTTCAATATTGAATAGCAATAGTAGGTTATCGGGAACCAAAAAAGTACGAAGACGTATAAAATGATTTAACGATAAAGATTCGAAAGCGTTTAACCACACTTATTTATGTAATCATATGCATCACTTAATTACTGCTGCAGATAAAAAATTCCTAAAATGAAATCTATAATAATCAAAATCAAGCACATGATATTTATGAATGTATATATGTATGCTTCTTTGCCACGTGGCATTGTAGTGATGATGAATTAAGATTATTTTGTAATTTAAAAAAACAACTAAAAGTTTTAAGATAATATTTTTCAAATGGATTTCAATAATTTACAATGTTAAGAGCAGAAATTCCAAATTATGTGTACATATATCGTCATCATTGGAAGAAGAATTTAAAATTAGAATGAATAAAACTTATGAAAGTGCAAAGTCAACAAAAATTCTTTACATATAATATTTGACCATATTATATAAATCTTAAAATATTTGCTAAATATTTAATATTATTTTTAATATTTTTAATAATATATATATATATATTAATAATACAATACATTTATTTATAAATATTGAAATTAAATGTATTTAATTATATAATAATAAATTTTGTTAAAATCCTTATTTTCAATAAATAATTTATTGATAAAATAAATAAATATATGATATTAATAATATTAGATATTTATTTAAATTTATTAACTTTTATTAAATAAGTTTTTCTAATTATTAATATTTTGATTTACAAAAATTTATATTTTTATGAGATAAGTTTTGCCATTATTAATAATTACTATATTAAATATTACTATGTAAAATATGAATTAGAAATCTAACTAAATAATAATAATGATAACCTAATTAAATAATAATTTTGCAGATATCATTGTCATAGGAAATACACAATTTGGTTCAGAATCACAATCTTTAACATGTCCGTATTGTCACGCACACATTAATACAAGAGTTGAAACTGAATCAAACATGAAAACTCATTTGTTTGCATTACTTCTTTGCGCTTTTGGGTAATTATAATAAAACATAATTCTATTTAAATTTATTAATTATTTTATAAAAAAGAAAAATTGAATCATATTTGTAATTGTTTTTAGACTTTGGTGTTGTGTTCCTTGTCCTTACTGTATTGATAGTTGTTTATCTAAAAAACATTACTGCCCAGCTTGTAATGCATATTTAGGAGAAGCAAGCAACTAAAAATAAATTTAAGATATAAATGTGAAAAAGTATATAATATAAGTATAAAATATATTATATACTGCTGAAAATAAAATAATATTAATAATTTTTTCTTATGTAATATATATACATATAATAAAATTATACATATATATGTGTGTTTGTATGTGTATGCATGTATATGTATGTATGTATAAGTATGAATTATATATATTATTATGATTTTTTATTATATATATAAAAGTATTATGCATTTATTCTATATCATTAATAATAATAATAAATAATAAATTAAAAAATATACATGAAAAATTCTGAATTCTAATATAAAAATGTGATTAAGAAATATTACTATTTTTTAAATTTTTTACATGTATAAATATTGTAAATAATTAAATTAATTTAATTTTAATAATTTAAAATTTGAAATTGATGATTAGTTTGTTATTTTATATAATTGATAATTTCATATCAATTATAAATTATAAATTCAAATATTATATATTATATTATATTATATTATATTATATTATATATTAAATGTGACTGCTAAATAAGAATAAATATATTTTTGAAAATAAAATTTTAATAAAACATATGAATTTTAAAATGATATACTATATAATTATCTTTAACAAAAATATCTATATATTAATATAATAATTTTATTATTAAATTAAACACATTTATATAAGAATTTGTTTTATTACTATTTGAGTAAAGTTATATACAGCAAATTCTGAATGTTATCCGATTGGCAGTATGCATGGTCAGATTGAATTATGTAAAAGAATATTAAAATGAATATTTTTACTGAGGACTATATTTTATTCATATATCCATTTTTCTGCCCAAGATGTCCAATCAATAACTTCTTTTTCTTCTCCAAACCATAGTTTGATCTCTTTATTAGCAGATTCAACTGAATCAGATCCATGAATAATATTACGTCCAACTTGAATACAAAAATCACCACGAATTGTTCCTGGTGCAGAATCCTTTGGATTTGTTTCTCCTAACATGAAACGACCAGTTTTTACTGCATTTAAACCTTCCCATACCTAAAAAATAATTATAAAATTAATAAATAAGACATATTTTTTATAATATATATTTATACTATATAATTACCATTGGTACAACTGGTCCTGAACTCATATATTTAATTAATCCAGGGAAAAATGGTCTAGATGCCAAATCTGAATAATGTTTCTTTAATAAGTCTTCAGTTGGCTGTAAAGAAAAAATAAAACCTTATTGTTATTTAAATTAAATTATATGTTTAATTCCATTTTTATACCATAAAATAAATAATGCAATATAATTTAGGTTATGTGCCAATATAACTTTATATAATTCAATTTTAATTACATATAAAAATAAGTTATTATTAATTTTAATAATAATAAAAAATCTTTTATATGTCTTAATGATATATAAAATTAAAATTAACATTTGAACTTATCTTCACAAAAAACACTTTAATGTCATAAAACATAGTAATGAAGGTCACAAATTATCTTCATGATAAAATATGATAGGTGAAAGTGTTTATGAATAAGCCAATATAAAAACATTTTTACATAGTTATAAAAAATCAAAGTATATGTATTTTTTCTGAAATGAATACTATTAGTATTAAACTTACCCATAACATTTTCATTGCTACAAGCTTAAAACCTTTTTCTTCAAAACGCTGAATTATTTTTCCAACAAGTCCACGTTGGACACCATCAGGCTTAATCATAATAAACGTACGTTCCTTGTTTTCTCCCATTATTAACTTAGAAAATAAATGAAGTAAAACTAATGTGGAGCACAAAACCATACACACCGGCAACGGCACCGACAGAGTGAGGTTGAAAGAACGGATTAGGTCTTTACTTATTCGAATTCTTCGAATGTGGTGGGGAAATCACCAGTCGTCACTACTGCAAAGCCATTCTCTACTCTTACCGCATGGCGCTCGAGTATAATTTATTCAGGAGTAATCATATTTTAGCTCAATATTTATTTTTCTAATTTTCAATTCTTCTATTTTTTTAATTTTTTACAACATACTATTTCTTATATATTTTTATATGATAAATATATATATATTTTTATGAATTATGAAATAAAATATCTATGAAATATTGTTTAAAAATGATGATTATTATGATATACATATAATTATATAAAAATATATTTAATATGTAAATATTCATTTAAATTAAATATTTTTTTAGTATTTTGTTATTATATTTGTTAAAAACTTTCATGCAATACTTATTATTTAATGTCAAATAAATTTTTCTTATTACAATATTTATATTAATTTATATTAATATTTAAATATGTTATAATAATATTTTTATTGAAAATTGATTTTTACATTGCAAAACTCCAATATTCATGAAATATGATAGCTGATTACATATAATTTGATTATCGGTTACATCAGTATGACGTATTTCCCGCGCGTAGAACGTCGTAAGTCTAATCCGGAATGTGTTCATCGATTGGTTTTTCACATCAGCCTGTCTTACGTATACGTAGTTCACGCTATGTTAAAAATTGTTATAGCATTGATAGACTATCATTCATGAAGGACATAATTATTGTGATAATATTTTGTATAACAAAATTTTAAATAACAAAATTTTTTTCGATTATGTAATTTAGTTCTTATGTGATTTGCATATTGTTGTACTAATTCTTGGTTTAAGTAAAGTGCTTGAAAATCCATGATGGCGCATACTGAAAGATTGCGCTAGTGCATACCAATATAAGTGCCGCGCGTATCTGTTTTTGTTTCGATTCTTCAGAAAATACTGAATTCTCGTTAGATTTGATACATTACGATTTTCGATACTGGATTTATGCAAGATTTTTAGTGACAATAAAATTTTTGTGCAATTTTATATCATTATCGTTTGTTCTATATCATTTTTTATGGTGGCCGTCATCATGCAAGCACAGCAGCAGCCACAGCAACAACAGCAGCAGAATCATCAACAAATTGCAGGCACCAGTGTCATTCTCAAGATGAACGAGATACAACAGCTTTCGACAGTTGGTACGTAGTAAAACAATTTCAACTACGTACCATTCCATTTTAAGTGTCAAATTTTCATTAAGGAAATTCGGTCAGATGTGTAATAAGTTTGCAGATATTGATTTTGCAATATTTTAATTCGTGTTACTAAAAATACATTCTATAAAAAATTCCATTATTAATTCTGACAAATAAAAATTATATAGATTTATTTCATGTTTTAAAAATTATTATTAATTATACCATATTATGTCTGCAATTTAATTAATTCTACCAAATTTAATTTTATTAAATTTTACCAAAATTAAATTTTGCTTTTGCTTACAAAAAATTATTGAATGAAATTAAATTTGCAAATAAAATTTTTAGTTTATTGGAAAATAATATTGTTATTAATATTTCGTTTAATTAGTTATTATATACTTATAAATTAGTTTTATATATATATATATATATTTAATCGCAATGCTATAATATAGGATAAAAATATATATGTATATGTATATATATATGTATATGTATTTGAAATATATGATACTTAGCAATAAAATATACTTAGCATAAAAGTTTCGTTTTCAAACAATGTGGAATAAAGAATAATAAATACATCGCATGTATACATACATATATGTATAATTGTTGTTTTCTTTCTTTACAAATCTACGAAAATTTTATTATAATATATTACTCTATTATTACTATCTTTAAAATTTTTCAAAGTATTCAAATTTATTTTACTTTTTCTATGAATAGAAGCAATAATACTATTGTATTATTATTTGTGTATAATATTTTCAAATCTATTTCTTAAGCTGTCTGTATGAAGTATATTGAAATATGTTGCGACAAATATTAAGATTCCAAGCTTATACACATTGAAATCTGTATTACCATTATTAGGAAAATATATTAATTCTTGTATCGATATATATTATGTCTGAAATCAATATTATGATTCAATCTACATATATTGTAACATATATTATGAAAGAAATTGATATATATATATCATACATGTTTCACGTGTGTAAGCCGCTTTAAACTACCGATTCTTCCCCTTCACTCTTCAGTCGTTGTTTCCGCTTCATCAAAGTGACGATGGAATATTCCACTTGGTACCTATGCCATCTGCTTTCTGTACAAGAGAGTGGGGATGACCGTCTCTATATTTCAGTGGTTCTTTTCTTTGTTCATAATTTTATAATTAAGAATTTATTTCTATATTCTTATTTCAAATTATTAATATCTTTAATCTATAGCAATAATTCAAAATAATTGATAATATTTTAAATTTTGAGAGATATATATTTTATTAATTTCAAAACATATTATTTTATGAGTAAATTTTAGAATTTCAAAAATAAATATTATAATATTAAAAAAATATTAATTTGACTTAATGTTAAAACTTCAATTTTGATATAATAAATATATATAAATAGCTAATTGATTTTAAAAATTAGTTTTATTTATGAAGATTGAGAACCACTATTATGATTTCTTTGTGTGCTCTCAGTCACGTATTAAAGTATAGATGCTAAACCTTATCGAATTTTTTGAGACACATTGAAATATATTTACAAACATAGATATAAAAATAATTTTTATTCTAAAATTAATAAAAATTATTAATGAATTGACAGATGATATGAAACATGACTTTATAAACTGAAAATAAAATTAAAGTGTGTGTATATATATGTATGTATACATATACATATATTTGTATTATATTGCTTTAATTTTTTTATATATTTTTTTTTTATTAATGCTAATTTTATTAAAAATAAAATTAAATAAAATACAAAATTTCATTGTTTTAAATGTACATAATTTATATTTTTATTAATGAAAAAGAATTTAAAATTAATTCTAGAAAAAAATATTTGTTAATTATATTTGAAATTAATAAAATTATCGAAAGTAAAAAGTAAAATATATATAAAATGAAAAAACCTTAAACACTAAATGCAATTTTACGGACCTGAGCCGGGTGTCTTCTTTACCCCCTTCTTCGGCTTTTACCCAGCGACGCAGGAGTCTGCCATAGTATCGAATTGACCAATCAGCTTGCTTCTTGGCTGGCGGGGATAACCTGGCCAAAGCGTACTTGCATAGAAACACGGAGGAGACAGTGTGTACAGAAACGAAGAGTTAATAAGTATTGTGGTACAATTTGTAATAGCCGCTGAATAATAATTTGAATAATACACATGAAAATAATTAAATCTGAAAAGTAAAAAATAATTTAGAATTGAATAGTGCGAATTGTCTGAAAAAAATTGACTTACTAATACTAGTGTGTGGAAAAGTCTCGAAATTGGTCGAAAGTGATTGCGTGGAAACAGCGTGTGTGTGTACCGGGAAGAATAGAACAACGCGTTTGGAAAAATTCATCGACAAAATGAGTATACGATTGGCAGAAAAGAAAGAAAACGTTATAAAAAATTCGAGCGGCATAATCGGAAATGTGGTCAATAGTTCGGATGACGTTTGTAATGGAACCGTCGAGTGGCAAAATGGACAGAATCTTCTAGTTGTTACACAGGATACTCAGGGCAAGGAATTAATTGCAATTGCTGATAATCAGACCATTAATGTTGCAGTTGACTCTTATTGTTCGTATTTTTATCTCACAATTTTTTTTATGCTATTTTAAAACCGGCTAAAAAATCGATATGTTTTATATATTTAGAAAGTATATTGTTTTTGTTTAAATTGCAGCATAATATGTAATATTTGGAAATAAATAGTTTAAAATTAAAATAATAATGAGAAAAAAAATGTTTAAATAAAATAAAAATATCTTTTTAAATATATTATTTTATTTTTCTTTATATTAATATCATATAATATCATGATATTTGAATGAAATAGATTTTTAGTTATATAAAAATTTATATAAAATTTATTTTTATAGTATATGATATATGGTTTTATTATATATTTCATTATATATATATATAAATATTTTATAAAGAAATTTTATGTAAATCATATTTATTATAATATATGCTTATTAATATATATTATTAGTATATATCAATGAGAATATATACATAAATATATTGTTTTAAGTTTCTTTTTGAACAATATATGTTTATATTTATATTTTGTATTTATCATAAATGTAATTAAATTTACTTAAATCTTTAAGTAATTTTTTTAAATAAATAGCTAAGTTTACTTATATTAAAAATATAAAATTCATAAAAAGAATTATATATTTTTAAGAATTAAATATAAATATTTTATAATGTATTTTTTTTATAGGGTTATTGGAACTTGCACATAGAGAATATCAAGCAGGAGATTACGAAAATGCTGAAAGACATTGTATGCAACTTTGGAGGCAGGAAACAAATAATACTGGAGTTCTTCTATTATTGTCTTCTATACACTTTCAATGCAGAAGATTAGAAAAGTAAATATTGTTTTTATAATTGTTAAATAATTTTAAAATAAAATATAAATAGATTCAAATAAGTTTTTGTTCTTCCATTTTAGATCTGCTCATTACAGCAGTTTAGCAATTAAACAAAATCCCTTATTGGCAGAGGCTTATAGCAATCTTGGAAATGTTTTCAAGGAACGTGGTCAGCTACAAGAAGCTTTGGAAAACTACAGACATGCTGTTAGATTGAAACCAGATTTCATTGATGGTTACATCAATTTAGCAGCAGCATTAGTAGCTGCAGGAGACATGGAGCAAGCAGTTCAGGCATATGTGACTGCTCTACAATACAACCCCGTGAGAAATTTATTCTGTTATTTAATAAAAATTTGTTGTATTCTTTTGCAAATTTTTAGATCTGCATAAATTCAATTTGTAGTAAATTATATTATTCCAAATATATTTTAAAAAAATTCTTTAAATAATTTAAACTATTTAAGAATGCAAAATACAAAATATTTTTATATGTTGCAGGATCTTTACTGTGTGAGGAGTGATCTTGGTAATCTTTTGAAAGCATTAGCAAGACTTGATGAAGCTAAGGTAGGTTTTCTTTGTCTCTTGTTCATTGTTGTAATTTAATCTAACATATCACATGCACATATTCAGATGCATCAGTATCACAATCAAACTTTAAGATTATATTTATAGTTTTAAAGTTTCATCAATTTTGTTTTGACAAGTTACAGATGCATTTTATAAAATGTGCACAAGTACTAGTTAGCAGCTCCATAGAATAATCAGGAACAACTGGTATCTATACTAGAAACGAAAACTTCTTTTTCTTTGCACTGAAATATGCGCGACGCACGATGATCTCAGAGATAACAATATGTCATTTCAAAAAGAGGCATTGAATTGAAAATTCAAATTTTAGTAATAAATTGTTCATCGTGCGTACTTTTTCGTTTAATTAATTAATTAATTACTGTGTTTGGTGTTTTTATTTTCGAGAATCAAAGAAAATATTGGGAATAAGATGATGTTTCTTATACATAAGATATCAAACACAGTATGAGGGTTTATATCTAAAATTAGCTAAAAATTATGAAATCCCTCTTTGCATTGCGCGTTTTGCAATAACACTTAAAAGCAATAAACAGAATTTCTTTGCTTGGTGTTATTGTAAAGTTTAACTTGTCGATCCTATTATAGCATTATCTATGTTATCTATTTTGTTGTATCAAATAAAATATATATATATATTTCAAACAACAATAAGTTATAATAGGATCAACAGAGCGCGAATATAGTATTTAAGCTCATCTCATTTGATTCAACTCATTTTGAATGTGTATTTACTTTAGGTATACTGATCTGTTTTACATATACATGGACAACCTTTCTTTTCCAACTACTCTCTTTCCAATTTTGAAAATCAATAAATTGTGTGTACAATGATAATCGCGCGAGATCATTTGATCAATTCTATATGTGTTTAATAATTTTTTATAAATTTGTATATAATATAATTTATTTTGTAGAATGAAAAAAAAAAAGAAAATATTTTTTGGAACTTGGAAACTTGTGGGAGACTTGTTCGATTCCCAAGAGTTTCATTCATTTCAGTAATGTATAATAAAGCAAATGAATCAAGTGGTCTACTTCATAAAGCAGCGCGGCGCGGCGATAATCGATAAGTAGAAATAATTGCAGATAGTATAATCCCCATTAATGATTTTGACATTTATCTTATATCGAAAACTTCGTTTAATATTTTATACTTTCTGCAAAAAAAAAAAAACTTATCGATAAAATTCAACATAGCAAAGAAAAAGATTTTATTCGTTATATTTCTTGTTATTCTTGAGCGCTTTCTAGTTTACTTGGTCGTTTTTTCGCTTAGTACGTTTTGCCACCAATAATATTATATTATAAGAAAAAAAAAAAAAAAACAAGTCCAAAATATTATTTATATATGAGGCTATAAAATGAAAGTTTCTTTTAACACGTTTCTCAAATTTACATTTTTAATATTATTATTTAAAATATTATGAACTACTTATGAATCAATTGATATTTAAAAAAAAAAAGATTTTTTTAAACATTATTGATAACGTAGAAATTTCGAAAAAATACTGGGAAAATTTATACAGTTATAATATGGTGGCTGACGAGCTCAGCGAAGCGTGTCTTTCAGGGGCACGTATAACTAGGTACCTCTGTATATGTATCAAAAAAGAAAAAGAAAAAATTTAAGAAAAAAAGTAAAAATAAAAAAAAGTAAAAAATAAAAAAAAAAAAAGACAAAGTTGAGGCGAAGAATTATCAGTGAAGAGACATTAACGCAGCTGTCTTATTGTTGTGGATGGGATGATCAACTCTAGGAGGGGAAGTCGGAGCAATGTGATTGGTCGGTTACCATGGGTTCCTTCGTCAAAGGGTGAATCTGAATCTGGTTATTCAGTAACACACTGTCTCTCGGTCTAAGTTTATTATGAGAGCTTGCAAGCCGTACCTACCGTCAACCTACCAAAGGGTACACTGCAGGTAAAGTAATTCCCAAGGCCGATCTCTGAATATCCCATCAAACCAATTGGTCCTTTTGTTCCGTAAGAGATTGAACGTTGGATTTTTTAACTCAGGATCGGCCTCAAAGTATTTGTATTTGCGATGGATTTATTTATGATCGCAAATATGGAACCAGGGGATTAAAGATTAAATGAAAATATTATACAAATATTCTATTTTATTATCGAAAATGGGAATTCTTTGTTAAAGCTCATCCAACTTCATTTCTGTCCACCTTTACTTACTCCATATATACTATTCAGCCTTCTTTATCCATTTCCTATAGAGATCGGCCGACTGTAAATGCCCTTTTACTTATTGTTTAGGTACGGATTACTCTGTTTTTTATATAACAATGCAGCCCGCCTCTCGGCACGCGCGATGCACATTCCTGCTTGACCCTTAGGAGCGTCGTCACATAAAGAAGATTTTGGACAAATTTTTTTTTCTTTATTACACTATGGAAAGCAATGATACAAACTTAACTTATTGATAAACATTTACCTTATCGATGGTAAAAGGATATATGTGAAATACTGTTTGTTTAAGCTCATCGACTGAGAATGGACAATGTTGGAGGGTGAATTGGCCAAGTGCAATTAAGCAGAAGTGAACTAACAATGGCGAGGGGCGTACTACGTGTCATCGAGTTTACTGGACGCATTCCGGAAACTCGATGAACACGAAATGGGACACCCATATCGCTTCTCTTCCACGATGACGTTTCTAGCGCGCACCTAAATCCTTTTTTCCTGATTTCACATTAAATTCCAATCCAATATTACATTGTATGATTTGCAAAATGGATTTCGTTCTCTCTGTTTCTAATTCGTTCTCGTTTTCCTTCCCAAGAAATTGTAATTTCAATGTAAAGTAAAGCTTTTTCTTTTTAAATTGTAGGATTTGATCGTTTGTTATATTGACGTTAATCTGTATTCTTTAATAGTAAGATATCGTTACGTAAAAAAAAAAAAATACTAATTATGATATTAAATTTTATTAAATTTTTCTAAATATAAATTCGATTTTTTCTTTGAATAAAAATTATTATCAATGAATATTGAAATCGTAATAATAATTGTATAATTTTATATTGCACAATAAATAATAAACGATGCGATTATATTTAAAATTGTTAAAAATCCATACTGTGAACAGTTTTTATTTTTAATGTCGGAAATCGCATTGAATGTAATAAAACAAGGGGTTTAATGAGGAAAAAGAGAGTAATGAAGCGAGATAGAGAGGACGAATGTATGAAGAGGTAATATTTTTCTGAGTATTTATCGAAAGTGTGTGAAAGCTGCGGCGCGGCGAGGAGAGGCCGGGCATTGCGCGCGGCGCGTTCCTAACAGTACGCGAGTATCTCTTCTGATCTTATGTTTATGTCTTTAGGCTTGCTATCTAAAGGCTATCGAAACGCGTCCAGACTTTGCGGTTGCATGGAGCAATCTTGGCTGTGTTTTCAATGCACAAGGTGAGATATGGTTGGCGATCCATCATTTTGAGAAGGCCGTAGCATTGGACCCAAATTTTTTGGATGCTTACATCAATCTTGGCAATGTCCTCAAGGAAGCCAGGATTTTTGATAGGTAAGAAAAGATAACTATTTATTCGTTATAAGCACGTTATAAATCAGTCGCTATATATATATATATACATATATATATATATATATATGTATATATATGTAGAGATATTGCTAAATATATGAAATTCTAGTCTTTTTATCCTCTTTTACAATATATGAAGATGAAAAGAAATTGAGAGATCAATTCAAGCATATGATAAATACAATTTATTATACGAAATAGCTTGATGCTTAATCTATGATTATATATATATATAATATTTTTTATAGTAATCTAATAATCTAATAATGCCTTGATTGTTGGAATTCTCTACCAACAGAGAAATATAGCTGTTTTGGAAATTATCGATATTTTCACATTCTTGATTCATTCATTTTTTTTAGCGAGAATGAGACAATAAATTTGAATGGAGAATAAGAATATCGATGATTGATTATAATGTGATATATAAAAAAGAAATCAGAGGCTCACTCAAACAAAGTAGATTCAAGAGAGAATAGTGAGAATAAATCTATAGCTAATATCTTGATGCTTTATTATATATTATATGCATATTATTTATAAAAAAAATTTTAGATATTATTTGTAAATAAGGTATAAAAATTTACATATATTTATATATAATTCAATGTAACTGATTACTGTTTTATAATTTAATATTTTTTTTAATAGAGACTGTTTTGAAACCTGAATATAAATATAATTTCCTTATTAAGAATATTTAGTTTAAAATATTGATTTATTGTTATATTATTAAAAAACAAAAGCGTTAAAAAATTATATAATTATTTTATTAATAATTATGTATGTGTTAAGTAATAAATGTGTTAGTACATTCTATTTTTAATAATGTTTTTTTAATAATGTTTCACAATATAAATGTGAAATTATTTAATGCAATACCAATTAAAATTAGAAGCTGGCGATGAGCATAGAATTTAAACTTATCAATCTAGACATTATGGGTTCGATTCCCGTTTTTGAATCTCTCATTTTTCTTCGATTTAAAATGCACAGTTTGATCAACCGTTGTTTCATATAGACATCGGTTTTAAAGTCTGTGCTAGAGAAATTTGATTTCAAAGTTATTCCATTAATGGATTATATCAATTACATTAGTGGGCAGTCATGAATCATACAAGTTTTTTTATTAATCAATGCAAATAAATTTACAAACAATTCTCTGTTCTTTTTTACGCATCAAGTTACTTTATATTCTAACAAATTATGTTCTATTTTTGTTGATACATTGAAAGAATATCGCGATATAAAAGAATTTGTTCTCTGCTTTTGAAATATGTTTATCGAGAAATTGCAAGCAAAGCGCATGAGCCGATATGTAAACACCGAATCGATATTCATAGCGTCCTTTCAAGTTCATCGTCCTTTGTTTCTTCAGAGCGATGTCCGCTAGCAACCTTCTTTCATTTACTACGTGAATTTCTAACTTTTCAGAAGTGTTTATAATTTTATTCTAAAGAATAACAAAATAACTTAATAAAATATACGTTGCTTAGAATGTTGAATATAAAAAAATATTAATTCCTAATAGATTAATTTAATTATTTATTATTATGTAATTATTAAATTTAATATAGCCATAATAAAAATTAATTTAAACAGAAAAATAGTAAAATTGGATTATTAATTTAAATAATCCAAAAATCTCAATTTCAACATAATACTTACTTTTTTAGTAGTAAGTAAGAAAATAGAACTTAATCGAATCAATATTTAATACGTAATATCTAAAATATAATTTAAAAAAAAAAATATGGAGAAAATTTAGATGAATCGTAATTTTCCGTTTTATGATTCAATCAATCTTACATATATATATATATATATACATATCTTATTATTTACTTAAAAGAAAATGGGGGAGGCAAATCGTTTGGCAACAGAAAGAAAATTGCCTGTATATATTTATTTACGCGTATTCGGAATCTTGAATATTACGCACAATAGCGGCAGAGAAACTCGAGGACAACTATCGATTTCAAGGATCGCTCCGCCCCTACGAGGGAGCGAACCCCTTTTACTCTTCGTGGGAGGGTGAATAGGGGGTCTTTAACGGATTTTGCCGAAAACGCGTAGCTCGTGGCGAGTTTCGTGACGGAAAGCTACTTTGTGATATCGCGTCTACAATCTGTTGAGGGAGTAGCTTAATTTTTTTTTTTTTTATTTTAACATTTAACATATACACACGTACCCAAATTAATTTATCGAGGCATCGAAATGGAGAAGGAATGGACTGCCAGTGCGTTGTCGTGTACACGGTGATCTCGCCTTCGACTACGATCGCACCTTCGTTACGCGTACAATTAGAACGAGCACTCTCACGATCTTCAACTCCTGGATGCATTTCCTGGATTAAATATAGCGTGAAAAGGTTAATTTCTTACCATATTATACCGTAGTATTGCCGGTATCTATTTCGCTTATAAATATATGTCACCATATAATAATGATGCGGTGCGACACGTGTGTGTGATTTGTTTAGGACATCGGGCGTGGTATTACGAACTGTAGAATAATATCGAATTTTGAGAATAAATAAAAAATAATTATCTTTCAAAATTGGAGATCTATACTCGTAAAAAATTATTATACGAACGATGTAAAATGAAGAAGAGTATAGCGTTTTAAGTTTGATTTATTTGTATTGAATAAGCAATAAGGAAATTTTAAGAAATGCATATATAACAATGTATCTTTTAAAGCAGTCAAAGTATATATATTTTAAGAAATCAAAGCGATCGAAAAATTTTTTATACGATGTTTCTATCGTTCGATGGAAATTATGATTCATTATTCGTTTCGTTGAAAAAACAATGTAAATGTTTTTTTGATGTTATGAGATGAATTTTAACGATATACAAATTTTTTGTTTGTAACAGAGCTGTAGCTGCTTATCTGCGTGCTTTGAATCTTAGTCCTAACAATGCAGTCGTACATGGAAATCTGGCATGTGTTTATTATGAACAAGGGTAAGTATTAAAAAAAATATTGATCATATTTTATTTTTATGTTAATCTATATATTCTTTTTTTTTTTTATTAGGCTTATTGATTTGGCAATTGATACATACCGTCGTGCTATTGAACTACAACCAAATTTCCCAGATGCTTATTGCAATTTGGCAAATGCGCTCAAGGAAAAAGGACAAGTGGTCGAGGCTGAGGATTGTTATAATACAGCTCTTCGCCTCTGTCCCTCACATGCCGATTCCCTTAATAATCTGGTATTTATATATTTATATATATATATTTGTTTTATTTTTATATATCGTTATTTTTTATTTATATATATTTAATTTATTCAGTTTAAATAATAAAATTCGATATGAATAAAAAATAATGTTTTATTCTTGTTTTATTTTATTAATATTTTTTATTATTCAATATGTTTTATTTTAGGCCAACATAAAACGTGAACAAGGATACATCGAAGAAGCAACTCGATTATATCTGAAAGCGCTTGAAGTATTTCCCGAGTTTGCCGCAGCTCATAGCAATCTGGCTTCGGTATTACAGCAACAAGGAAAATTAAATGAAGCATTAATGCATTACAAGGAAGCTATTCGTATTCAGCCAACTTTCGCGGATGCATATTCGAACATGGGCAATACATTGAAAGAAATGCAAGATATACAAGGAGCTCTTCAATGCTATACAAGAGCTATTCAAATTAATCCTGCTTTCGCCGATGCTCATTCCAATCTAGCTTCGATTCATAAGGATTCCGGAAACATTCCAGAGGCTATTCAATCATACAGAACTGCGCTGAAGCTCAAACCTGATTTTCCTGATGCATATTGTAATTTGGCGCATTGCCTTCAAATTGTTTGTGACTGGACTGATTATGAAGCACGAATGAAAAAATTAGTTTCAATTGTTGCCGAACAACTTGACAAAAACAGATTACCCAGTGTACACCCACACCATTCTATGCTTTATCCATTGTCTCATGAATTTAGGAAAGCCATTGCTGCTAGACATGCAAATCTTTGCATTGAGAAGGTAAACAAGATATTTTTTAAACAAATGTTATGAAAGAATAAAAATTAAAATATATTTATTTTATTTATGACTTACAGATTCATGTTTTACACAAACAACCATACAAATATCCACGTGAAATTGGTGGCCGCTTAAGAATTGGATACGTATCATCAGATTTTGGAAATCATCCTACTAGTCATCTTATGCAATCAATTCCGGGACTCCATGAAAGACAAAATGTTGAAATTTTTTGTTACGCTCTCAGTGCTGATGATGGAACTACCTTCCGAGCGAAGATTGCTAGAGAAACCGAACACTTCGTGGATCTATCGCAGATTCCATGCAATGGAAAAGCAGCCGATCGTATTAACGCGGATGGAATACATATTTTAGTAAATATGAATGGGTATACGAAAGGAGCGAGGAATGAAATATTTGCTTTGAGACCAGCACCGGTACAGGTGATGTGGCTTGGATATCCGGGAACATCGGGAGCTAGTTTTATGGATTATTTAATTACGGACGAAGTTACATCACCATTGGAACTTGCTAGTCAGTATAGTGAGAAACTTGCTTACATGCCACACACATACTTTATTGGAGATCACAAGTAAGTTTGTAATATATATACAAACTGTGGAATATATTTTTTCTTTTTTTTTTTCCCCTTATCTTTTATATTTATATGCTGACTTTATATTTATATTTTATATTTATATTATTTATTATATAATGTATTTATATATTTTTTCCAGACAAATGTTTCCACATTTAAAAGAACGTCTCATTTTAACGGATAAATTGAATATGAAAGGCAAAGTAGCAGATAATGTAGCTGTGATAAATGCCACTGATCTTTCTCCAATGATTGAAAATACATGTGTGAAAGAAATACGCGAAGTTGTCGTGCCGGATGCTAAAAACAAACCAGTAGAGATTTCATTGAAAGTTGCAGAATTGCCAACTACTACTCCTATTGAAACAATGATTGCTTCTGGACAATGTCAAATGTCTGTAAATGGCGTTGTAGTTCAAAATGGCATGGCCACTACACAAGTAAACAACAAAACAGCAACAGGTGAAGAAGTGCCTCAAAATATTATGATTACTACAAGACAACAATATGGTTTGCCAGAAGATGCAGTTGTTTATTGCAATTTTAATCAATTATACAAAATTGATCCGCTCACACTTCATATGTGGGCGCATGTAAGTTTATTATCCTTTTTATAATAAATTTATTTTATCGAAAATATTATTAATTTATTTATATTAATACTAAAAAATTTTAGATTCTAAAACATGTGCCAAACTCTGTGCTATGGTTGTTGCGCTTTCCGGCCGTTGGTGAACCAAATTTACAAGCAACAGCTCAACAATTAGGTTTAGCTCCTGGTAGGATTTTGTTTAGCAATGTTGCTGCAAAAGAAGAACATGTTAGAAGAGGACAATTAGCCGATGTATGCTTAGATACGCCTCTTTGTAATGGTCATACTACTAGCATGGATGTTCTGTGGACTGGAACTCCAGTAGTTACGCTACCAGGAGAAACTTTAGCATCTCGTGTTGCTGCTAGTCAATTGAATACTTTGGGATGTCCAGAATTGATCGCACGAACACGACAAGAATATCAAGATATTGCTATTCGTTTAGGAACTGATAGAGAATAGTAAGTAATTATTTTTTTAATTTTAATTTTGAAACTTCAAGCTTTATATATTTTATATAAATTCAATTTTTTTCTTTTTTCAAGTTTAAAAGCAACACGAGCCAAAGTATGGAAAGCAAGATCCGAAAGTCCTTTATTCAATTGCAAATTATATGCGATGGGTATGGAAATGCTATACAAAAAAATGTGGGAACGTTATGCCCGAGGTGAAAAACCAGATCATGTATCAGCAGTAGATAAAAATGAAAGAGAAAAATTATTAGCATCTGCATCTTAATGGTTTTCAAATATCTGATTTTATTTATACAGCTTTAATTTTACATCTGTTTTTTTGGAAATCTAGTATTTAAAACAGATGATTGATAATCGATTTCATGAAAATATGATTCTTATATAAATTCCGTATTCTGATATTTACTATTTTATATAATAAATCATCGAGCTTTAGAGTAACGTAAGATAGCGTTACATGCGAACGTTCAATTTGACGTTTTAATATTAAAATTATGGATTGTTACACTATGCAAATCATAAGAAATAATTATATTCATTTCTTATGTTATGCCACTGCATCTTTTATCTTATTATTTATACATATAAGATTATTGTAGAATGTTCTTGAAATATCTTATAAAGTCAAGTGTCTTATATGTTTCACTCTTTATTTTCTTTTGTTTTTGTTTTTTTTTTTTTTTAAATATTGCCATAATTAAAATGGGAATATGTAAGACTTAATTTTTTTTTT